CATATGAAGGGGATGAACACCATATTATACATGTAGTAGCATCACCCTTTTAATATTTATATTAAAATTACCTCAAACCCTATATATAAGATTTAGTATTCAAAATTAAAATGACATAATTTTTACTTTCACTAATTAGGTGATAATTAAGATTAATTTAATTAATTAATACAAGATTGATTAAAGAAAACCGTTTATGATTATCTAAAATCTAATTCGATATTTTGAAATTGGGTAATTAGCATGAAACATCCCTATCTTTCATGCTTTTTGTGGAAAACGTTCATACCTTTTATTTTTTGGTGCATTTTATTCCTACCTTTACATTTTCTAGTGCAAAACTTCATTTTTATCATTTTTCTCAATAAAAGGCTATAAAATGACCAATATACCATTCTATTTAAATTAAAAAAAACAAAAATAAAAAACTAATTGCAATCATAGTCCCAATTTTAAAAAAAAGTTCAACAGAGTCCCAATCAAAAAAATAAAAAAGTACATAATCCTCGAAAATTAAGGAAAGAACATACAGATAAAACTAAAGAAATAAAATCTCAAAAATTCTGCTTTTATATATACAAATAGTTCCCTAAATTGTTACCCTCGGATTTCCGGCCATAATCCTCGAAAATTAATCTCCTCATGTTGATTTCAGCTCAATATCTCTCACAAAAGGATGTGATAACAACTGGGTTGCACTCCATCGTTTACTGGAATCCTTTTGTGAACAACACTGAATGAAATTTGAAATTTTTCGATGCACTTTTCCGACAAGTCGGTGGTTCGCTGAAGCATATGACACACATAAGTGTAGCCTAGTCAGGTCTTTGCCCATCCGGCAAGTATGGAAAATGGCCCATAAACAATTTTAGTAGAGTCAATCCTAAGCTCCATATATCACCAGCGTACCCGTTGTAATTGCTGCCGTATGTATCCGGGTGGAATCTTTTCGGGCTCAAATAAGCGTAGATTCCAACGTAGGAATTGCAGGGATCCAATGTCCGGTGCATGATTTTACTGACTCCAAAATTAGAAAATTTCACTTCAATTTTATTGTTTACTAATATATTTGACGGCTTCAAATCTCTGTCAATGATCTTGTGGGAGTGCAAATATTCATTTATTTTTGTTTGGGCTCTTTTGAACTTTTTTTAAAAATTGGGACAATTATTGTAATTAGTTATGTATTTTTTTTTTTTGAAAAAAATTTTAAATAGAAGGGTATATTGATCATTTTATAGCCTTTCATTGAGAAAAATGATAAAAATGATGTTTTGCCCAAGAAAATATAAAGGTAGGGATGAAATGAGCCAAGAAACGAAAAGTATGGACATTTTCCACAAAAATCATGAAAAGTAGGAACATTCCGTACTAATTACCCTTTGAAATTTCTTTCTATAAAAGTTTCCCACTCATTCTCTCTCTGTCTCCACCACCATGTATAGATTCTGCACCACGTTCTCTCCCGCTACAATACGGTGCAGTTGTATGCCATTTGTAGGCTCGGTCCTGAGGCTAGGCAAATGAGGCTTATGCCTCAAGCCCAACATCTAGGGGGGCCTCACTTTGGGCCTAGTGATGCAGAAATGCAGCACACAACTTCAACCCAAATCCAATATATATATTCTTTATTCATGGCATTTACGATGATTTCGAGAGGGGGCCCAATTTTTAGACTTTGCCTCGGGCCCGAACAATCACAGGACCGGCCCTAGCCATTTGGTGGTGACAATTCCAATTCTCCCGATTAATATGTCCACTAGCCTGTTCATTTCTAGTCGACGACAGGTAGAAAAAATAGTGCATGGCAATTGTCTTTCCCATTTGAAAGAGTCTGCTCTTTGTGTGTGTCTAGATTGAACATTCTGATTTTATAACCACCGTCATCGTTCGTACATTTTGAATTCATCTTATGACATGGAAGTTCATAAATTTTTAATAAAAGCATTTAATAAAAAAGTATTTCCATGAATGTCACCTACTGAATGTATTTGCTGTGCTATTTATGTGTAGATCTCTGTTAACAGGCTAAGTTTGTGTTAACTATTACTTTTTGTGACCAAATATATTTTAAACATAACTATATGTGATTAGATTTGTGTTAATTGTGATTATTTGTGACTAGAGCTATATTACTATGAGTTTGTTAAAAAGATTTTATTTTTCATAAATTTTTAACATGAGTTTGTATTTCATAAAATGTCTGCATGAGTGTGACTTATTAGATGTGTTTTTTGTGTTGTTTGTGATCATGTCTGTGCTAACAATGACGGTTTGTGACTAAGTCGGTGTTAAGTTTACAATTTGTGATCAAATCTGTGACTGTGACTGTGACTGTTTTGTGACATATAATATATTCAATGTCACCGATTGCTTTTATGATTGACATTTTATCGCGAATACATTATCAATATTTTTTCTATAGGAAATCATCTCATAATTTACAGATGCTAAGTCACTCTATATCTAAAATCAGGTCACAATATATCAAAATCAAGTCAAATGGGGTCACAATTTACCAAAATCAAATCACAATTTGTCAAAAGGATGTCACAAATGACCAAAAGTAAAAAGAAAAAAAAAGAACTCATTCACATTATACACAGCATATTCATACACTACATTTAACATTGCAAAGCATTTAATTAGTAAAAAATTACAATTAATTGGTCGTAATCAATCTTCGTTACCATTAATTCAAAGTCTGCAAACTTTTTGAATGGTGGTGTCAAAAATAAAAAGTCTGGAATCTCAACTTCAATTTTTCCTAAAAGTATATAGGGGTGTTTGACCCACATTATTTTGGTAATAATGTATTCTTGAATAGTGTATTGATGGAAAATGTATGGTTAAAAAATAAGAAAAAGTTTTTTATCTGCGTGTAATATTATTTTATTGAAGAATGTGTGGTTAAAATGATGTTAAATTACTTTTTAAGAATGTATTTTTTTGAAATAATGTGGTTCAAACATGCCCTATGTACGTTTTTCTTCAATGCTAAAGTCCGAGCTCGGAGCGAGGTGACTCGATCACCCACTTTGACACAGCTGAGTTTAGCATAGCAGTAAATCAAAACAAATAAAAATAGTACCATTTATATTGCACTCAATTCCAAGTGCCACGCGGTAAAATCTTCTCCCCATCTCCAAATCATTCCTCTTCCTCTTGCAAGTATTGTTTATTCACCAACACCAACGCTTGCTAAATTAGTTCATCACTAAATTATTGATGATTAATGGAGAAATTGCAGTGAGTGATTTTGGAGAGTTTTTGGAAATCGGGCGTGTAGAGAGAGAAACAGTGTTTGATTATGAGAAAGAGTGTGAGAAATATCTTTTAAATATGATAAAAGACCTAATTTGTAGGATATAATTTTACATGGTATATTTAATCCTAATTTAGTGTATGTTTTTCTTATAATTATATATTTATTAATTGGAATTACAACCTGATTTATGAAAGTATTTTGTAAGATTATTAATTGTGAAATATGATTTTTATAGTGTTGTAGTTTATATTGTCCTCAATATTTATTACATATTCTATTTTATCTTTACGTTTATGTTAGATATGAAGCAATTTTTTCTCTTATTTTATTTCTTTTTCTTTTTTGTTTAATTTAAGGTTATTATCTTTAAAAAATTTCACTTTCTTTATAATTTTTGCAAAAATGATTACAACAACTCAATAATATTTGCAAAATTGATGTTTTTGTACAAAGGATAAAAGAACAAATTTATATATATAAAAAAATGTTGATTGGAAGAGGGAAAAGAAAATTCATCCAAACTTTGAACCTTATTTAATACTATTTTTATGTTTTGGTATTATTGATAAGAGAAAATTAAGTTTCTAAAATTTTACATATTGGTGTTTATTATATGCATATATTTTTTAATTACACTAAAGATCCTTAAACTTTATTCATTGTCACATTTATGTGTATATTTTTCTTTATAATATTCTTATCATTAGGTGGTACTTTAAAGCAAGAAAAGATATTTAATTGTAATTTTATATTTATTAGTTTTTTATTTAAAAATACGAGACAAATTAGTATTGTTACTCCATTTCAAAGAAATTTTGAATAGAATTCATCATAAAGAACAAGTTGTGCAAGTCAATTTAAGGTTGAGGATAAGACATAAGAAAACAATCCAAAGAGTGAAAGAAAAAGTGTGATAATAAGTAAATGTAATGAAGTTTTGATATAATTAAAAATATGGTGTATTTATAATTATTTCTATCTTTTATGTTTAGCCCCCTTTTAGTATATTTAAAAATCATATTTTTAGTAAATTTTGATAAAAGATTAAATATATATATATATATATATATATATGATTGAAAAGTTGTGAATTCCTGAAATAAATAGATGTAAAATTAAATATTATATTTGACTTAAAATTTTATTAACTTTTTAAGCTATACAAGAGCCTTAACATATATGTACCAAAAAGATTTAGATAGCCCATGTTTGAATCTCATAAATTTTTTCTTCTTTTTCAATCACTCATATTTAAAAAAAAAAAAAATACTATTTCGCTAATTTTCATTTCAAAAAAATTGGGGCGAAACAGGGACTTAAAATCAAATAACATAAAAATATTGTACTTGTATATTACTGAGGTGTCTTGTGTGACTTTTTGTCACGGTCAAATATACCACCACCCGCCAGCCTAAACGAATAACAGGAAGCTGCAACTTCCCGGCATTTTCATGATTTCTTCCTCCAACCCAGAATTTCAGATCAAAAGTCACTTTTTTCTTTCAATTGAAAGGAAAGAACGGAGATACGTGTGTATGATCAAAGAACAAGAAGGTATGTAATTTTGATACATCAAATTTTAAGTGTATGAACATATATTTCCTTGAATTCTCACTGCAGTATTTTAACATCTTATATAGAATGAGTAAAAAGGTAAAAACCAGTTAAACTAGTGTTCGATTTATGATTTATACAGAGAAGTGTTGTTACAAACTTATTATAGTAGGCAAACATGTCGGCGATGGTCGAGAAGAACGATTTTGACGTTGAAGCTCAGCAATCACTGTTGATGACACCGGAGCTTGTAACTAGGACAAGGCAGACAATGAAAAGGCTGTTTTTGTTGATGCATTCGGTAGTGCTCTTCAAATTAGGAATAAGTGACTCATCTTCGAACCCGTCCTATTCTACTGTTGGAACAGCTGATGATGACGAAGAAGAAGAGGATAATTCGGTAGTAACCTCTTCCTTTGACGTGCATAAGGTAACTTCTTCGTGAATTTGTTTACGTTTCATGTTTAGTCTTCTGATCATCGTATAGAAATCTCAAATCTCTCGTTGGGTGGCAACTTTCGGAGTTTTTTCTTGAAACCCTATATTCTTTTCAAAGCAACTAATAAATGAAATGGGTGTTTATGAATTATGAAAAGCAAAGAGTACCGATGTAGCTTTTCATCTTGCTAATTTAAAGAAAGTTCCAAGCGTTGTACTTTCCTCTTTCCTCTTTTGTCTTTATTCTTGTAATATCTTGGAACCACTGCTACAATGATTAATTATTAATTCCGCTGTTTGATCAGTATTTAGAAATTGAGGAAGCTACGGATTTTTCGACATGCCCACCTGGTGATTCCTTCAATGTTGTGAGTTGTGTACCCCAGAATGAACACATCAGTATTGAGCTCCGAAGGAAAAAAGTTGCCGAGATTGTAGAAAAAATGAACTTGGACGAACTTCAGAATATTGGAGGAGTCCAGGGAGTGGCAGATGCACTGAACACCGATCTCAAGAATGGAATTTCTGATGATCATGAAGCTATCTGTGGAAGCAAACCCAATGAAATCCGTCTAACTTCTATTTTCTTCGAAGTGTTCCTGGAAAAGTGCAACAACTACACGTTCTTCCTCCTCTTATTGGCTGCAGCATTATCCCTGGCCTTCGGAATCAAGAAAAATGGTCGAGCCAATGGCTGGATTGATGGGGCACTTTTAATTCTTTTTATCTTCGTTCTTGTCATTTTCACTGCGATAAGCAGCTACTTGCAAGCAAGAAAGTCTAAGAAAAATATCCAGAAAAAATGGTTTTCTGAAGGGAGGAATGTGAAGGTACAAGTGATTAGAGGTGGACGTCCTCCTGCGTTTATTCTTGCATATGATTTACAAGTTGGGGATATAGTATATTTGCAGAGAGGTTATCAGGTTCCTGCTGATGGAATATTTATAGCTGGTGAAGCATTAGAGTTGTACGATGGATTAAGGTCCCCAGTCGATGACAAAACCCCATTTTTGTTTTATGGTTCCAGGGTGATCAACGGTTATGCTCGAATGATTGTGACATCTGTGGGAATGGAGACAGTGTGGGGTGAGATGATGAGCAAAGCAATGGAGTCACCTGATAATAAGTGCAAATTTGAAGTTTTGTTTACGAAGTTAAGTACCTGGGTAGACTTCACAGGGCTTCTAATTTCCATCCTTCTGCTTATAGCCTTGTTTATTCGCTATGTACTAGGAGAAAGAGATGATGAAGACGGTGATGGGCCCCAGACCAGGGGAGAACCCACTCCTCTGAAAATCATATTAGATGCTATCAAGGTTATTATGAGAGGATCAAAGGGGACGATGAGAGTTTTGACAACTTTACTGAGTGTGTCACTCGTGGGGATAATGGAAGGTGTACCTGTTGTGATTTCAATTGCAATCACATACTGGAGCCGGCAGACACTAGCACATCAGGGCTTAGAGAGAGACCCTCTAGCTTGTGCCAAGATGGCAACAGTTACAACCATTTGCACCGATATATTTGGTGGATTAACAGATCATGAAATGGAAGTTGACAGGGTTTTTCTTGATAATGAATTTATCTGTGAAAGCTCTACAGTATCCCCCAGTGTGCTCCAATTGCTATGTGATGGAATTGGAATATCAGATCTGTTATCCCCAAGTGTAAGTGATTTAAGGCAATTGGTAACTATCTCCTGGGCTGAAGATAAGCTTGGTATGCGGAAGGAAATCTTCAAACATCAATGCAACATTGTCGAGCATAAAAAGAGTAACCTTCCCCAAGAATGGAGCGGAGCACTGGTGGAAAAAAACAGAGACGATGGACATGAGTGGCATTTGCACTATGAAGGATCTCCCAAGGATATTTTGTCAATGTGCTCTCGTTTCTATAACATTGAAGGGGAAGAGCTGAAAATAGAAGGTGAGAAAATGAGAATGTTAGAACAAGTTAGTAATGATATGCTAGCTGAACGAGAAGTAATTGCATATGCTTGCAAACCCACAGATGGGTCTGATGATATGTCACTTGAAGCAAATGACTTGATCTTCATAGGAATGACAGGCATAAGAAACATAATTAAGGATGATATAAAAAATGCAGTCTCGACTTTGGAGGGAGGAGGAGTTAGGACTATTCTTGTTGCAGGAGATTGTGTCGATGTACTTAGACCTATCGGCAGCAATTGTGGGCTGCGTAATCCCGAGACGAATGCTTTAAAGGGTGAGGAATTTAGGGACTTAACGGATGAAGAGAGAATGCAAAAGGTGGATACAATTCGCACCCTGGGAAGCTGTACCCGGCAGGACAAGGTTACTTTAGTGAAGTGCTTGAAAGAAAAAGGTGAAGTGGTAGCAGTGTTGGGGCAGCGAACAAATGATGCTCCAGCACTAAAAGAAGCTGATATAGGGCTGACAATGGGGACTTGGAGCTCGGAAACGGCAAATGAGTGCTCGGAGCTCATTGTTTGGAATGCAGATTTCACTTTTCTGGTTAATGTGATCGAGAGTGGGAGACGTACCTACGAGAATATACGAAAATTCATCCAATTCCAGCTCATCAACACCATTTCGAGCTCATCGGTTAACTTCATTGCAACTATAGTTTTGGGGAATGCCCCAATAACAGCAATGGAGTTGTTCTGGTTGAACTTGGTTGTTGCACTTCTTGGAGGCTTGGCACTGCTGACCATGCCACCGGCTGAAAACCTGATGAAAATGCCTCCGATCAGATCATCTGGACGTCTTATTACCAATGCCATGTGGAGAAATATAGCCATACAAGTCTCTTATCAAAATGCCATATGTTTGATTCTTCTACTCAAAGGAAGTGCTGTCCTGGGAATAAGTGCAGAAGCCATCAAATCCATGATTTGCAACTGCTTATTTCTCTGCCAATTATTCAACAAATTCATCGCTAGAGAGCCTGAAAAGAAGAATATTTTCGAGGGTCTTCATCAGAATCGATGGTTTTGGGTGGCCTTTGTTCTTTTTCTAATGTCTCAGGCAGCCATGACAGCGACCGAAAATGTTCTTGGCATTAATGCGAGTTTGAGCTGGAAGTTGTGGGCTTTGTGCATTCTAATTGGCCTCATCTCGTGGCCGCTTGATTTCGTAGGGAAATGTGCTTCAGATGTTCATTGCCTGGTGTTTGCTGCAGATTAAGGCTGGAAATGAGGGTCAGTATAGTTTCTTTTTCTAAATTCTTCAAATTTTCATTTCCTTAATTTTTCCCTCATACCCAATTACTACTATTTTGTATGTTTCATTAAGAATGAAGAAACACTTAGAATTCTACACAGATAAATCATATAAGCATGTATGTATGTACCTTTTCAATGCATAGAATTCTACACAAGAAGCCGTCAAAACCAAACCATTAACTCTGGTATTATCATCAATCGTACATTAATTAATTTGCAAATTCATTCAAGAAATAGGGATATTAATTTATCAATAATGCTGTTCATAATCATCATACATACATGGCATCTTATGTGGCATAATTTTAATAATTTAAAAAATGAATATCATTTAATAAAGAAATACTATGTAAAATGTTACTTATAATGATTATGCAGCCACTAACTATGAGTATCACTACTCTTAATTTATACATGTAAATTAAGTAAGACTTGCCTGTGCAAACAATATTTGCCTATTCTTCTTGAATCGCCATGGATGATGATGATGATGAGATGTAGAACCAATTTTGCAGAGTCAAGTCTGGCGTCGTCTCTTTAAGTCTTTGCTTCAATTCGACAATTGGGTTAGGAGTATTAATTTGATGAACGTGGTGGACCCATGAACAAAAGAATAATTTAAAAAATGGGCCTAGAGAGTCTACCAATGATCTTCTCCAAATCAGGTATTTGTAGATGCCTCCTGGTTGGCTATCAATAATTAGCTACATTGTATTGACGCCACAGCTTTCTATTTATTTATAGAATAATTCTAGTCTGTCAGGGTGGGGGGTTCACATGCCTTTTACAGGCTATAAGCATGAGATGGATCCCACCTCAATAAAAAATGGTTTAAGCCATTTGTATACAGCTCTGTGTACACTTTCCTCACATAAGGGAAGTGGGCCCGGCACATTTAATGTACGGGCCCCGTTCCTTGTGTGAGAGACATGTACACCGAGCTGTCAAACTTGGTGTACATGTAGCTTGATTCTTAAAAAATGACCTCCTAAATATTCAACCCTTTCTTGTTTGTGAGTGATTTGTGGGGGTTGCCCCACCCTGGCAAAGCAGCATGGCTCTTATTTATATTAAAGGTCTAGAACTTTCGCATTACCACGTTTATTATTTTTTAACTTTTTGCTTTATATTTTTATCTTTTACATTTCAAATCTCGTACTTCATCACAGTTTTTGTCCAAAAATATTATTAGCATGCTTTAAAATTAGGAATAAATATTTAATCTTAATTTTGTCTTTTTGGCTTATTTAAAAATAAGAGGGACATATAAGTCTTTTTGTTTTATCTTATGATAGGACAATTAATATTAATTTGAGAATGATAATGCGACATAAAAAAAAAGTTAAGGACATAAATATGATAATGAATAACTGCTATAAATCTTTCATACAATTAAAATATGATGGGAATATATTTAGCCCTTTATAATTTCCTGGACGGTCTTGTAAAGTGCCAAAACTTGTGGTTTTAGAAAGATAATCATGGTCTTGTTAAGCAATTCTTGGTACACGAGAAGAAGCCTGGTCTGGTCTGTCGGGGCCGGTTCAAGAATTGGTGATTAGGGGAGATACTCAAACTTGCACGAATCGTGCCCTGTCTTGAGAAATAAAACCCAATTTATTCCCGAAAATTATTAATGCTGCTTTGTCAGAAAGTAGGTGATATAATAGATGTTAGCAAGATGTGTTACGGTGCAGCCAAAGAGAAGCTCAGATTTCTAACACAATCCAGATCAATTCTTGTTAAAAAACTAATTAATTTCTGTAAATGAAAAAGATCTCTGGCTAATGACCCACAAATTATTTTCTTTTTTTCTGGTGCCATCTAGCCTGGCCTTCATTATTTATTTATTGTTACTTTTTTTTTTTTTTTTTTTAATATCAAACTATCAATTAGAATGTAACTAAGTTTCTCCAGAATATATAATTATATGAGAAACCAATGTATAATTAGCAGTCATGGCCTAAATCCAAACTTTTAGAACCAGACAAGTTCTGTAAGCAAATTCTTCTTCCCCACAAATGATCTAGTTGCATAATGACTCAAAAGAATTACTAATTTAGAAAAGAAGATAAGAACCTGATCGTTTGCTAACAAACCAAACTGTAGTTAAGTTGTAATTTCTCTAATTCTCATGTTCATTTATCTCTAAGCAACTGTATTTAATGACCTAGTTGCAAAAAGGTTAAAATGGACGGAGGGACGAGTTTTGCTACATTTTCGAAAGGTGGATGATATATGATGCTAAAAAAGTTTGAGGACAAAAAGTGTCAATTTTCTTAAATGTTTGAAAAGTATCTCTATCCTCGCATGCACCGACTAGGGTCTCATGATTGAAGAATTTTTTTTGTTCAAAAAACCTAATTGGAGTAGATAAAGTGATATACAATTGACTTGACTTAGTTTAATTTATGGTCAACTTGTCACAATCATCACACATTAAAATATTGCAATTTGAATACAGCATTTTCAAATGATTGTGCCAGCGTATACATTTGATAATCTCATCATCCATGGCGATTCAAGAAGAACAGTTTAGTCATCGTCACCTATGATTTACCACTACAAATATCTAAGGTATTAAGTCGATTAATTAATTTGTATGTATAACAACCTTTATTTTGTTGAGTTTGAGAATTAATTGATGCATGATTAGATCTGATTTTGAAGAACTGTTGGGTATTGTGTTTTCATGCATGCTTAAATGTTTTATTTTCTTCTCTGCTTTATTCTGTAATGGTAATTTATATCTACAAAAGGATTTGTGGTTTGCACTAACAGTACATTAAACATGAAATTCAGTGATTACAAGCGAGTGTTGAACATTATAGCATGTTGGTTAAAAAATTAACTTTTAATTTAGTTAAACATGATGATAAGCAAATTGCTAAACACTGAACTCTATCACAAATTAAGTTGTCAAGTTACTTTATTGGATCGATTTGCGAGAAAAAAACTATGCTGGGTTGACTTAAACCCATCTATTTTTAAAAGGGAAATTAACGTAAACCCGTCTATCTTTAAAAGGGATCGATTTGCGAGAAAAACTATGTTGGCCCCTATTAAATTCCATTTCATTTTTCTCTTTCTTATTTTCAGTCACCCAATTTTCTATAAAATAATATTACGCGTAAACTGAAAACTTTTCCTTCTTTTTCAATTGCTCATTTTTCAAAAAACACCATTCCACCCATTTTCATTTCTAAAAATGGGGGCCAAACGGGGGCTAAATCTTTAAATCTTGGTGCAAATTATGTCACAAACCTTTGCATTATTGAGCAATTGATCCTTTTGATAAAGATCATTAGTTCTGTATGTGGAATGCAATTGCTCTTATTTTGTTTTTATTTAAATGGATAAAACTTCAAAAACCCGAATTTTAGTGAATTCGAACATATTGATGCTTGCTAAATGCTAAACTAGGTAGTGATCAGAGAAGAAATTTAACTGCACATTGAGGATGATTGATATCTGTATTCAGAGTACACCATGATTATTTTATTTTGGGCTATGTCACTTTGCCAGAAAGTGATTGACAGATAGAGAAATGTGTATTACAAATGTGAATGGATGAAAGTTGTCTGTATTTGAAACAGTCCAATAATAAAGTGTATCATTATTGTTTTATTTTGTTGGTGTTATTTATTCTTGTGTTAGCTAATTGAAATATGTATACTTGCTCGACGCGTATTGGACGAGAGAGATTTGAGTTTAATTTGGGAAATGGTCATTTTCATTGGACGACAGCGGTGGTTGTAGTGGGGTTGTGAAGGACGAGGCAATAGGTGACAAAAGAAGATGAACATATTATTATTTTTTTTAAAGCAAATTACTTTTTACTTATTTTATTTTTATTTGATGAAATTGCCCCTTCAAATAAAAATAAAATAAGAGCAATTGCATTCTGGTTACAAAATTAGCGATACTTTTGACAGAATTAATTCAAAAGGAACATTGTGCCAGTGCAAAAACTGTTCTCACGAAGATTCAAAGGTTTGAACCAAAAGCCCAAGATGGACAAAAGTTCGAAAAATTTTGCGTCAATTTCCCATTTTAAAACTTACTATAAAAAGTTATTTGTTTTGTTTTGACAGGAAAACTTCTAGCCCAAGTTTAATTTTGATTAAAATTTTGAATCAAAATCGACAATTAATATTAATAACACGTTTTATGGAATCCACAATTTTTCAACCACTCATTATACCAACTTTCATTAAAATTTACTAAAAATCTGATTTAATTTAATCCTAAGAACAGGGCTAGATATTATGCCTAGCACCCATCATTGACTATTACAGGGCCTGTTTGGCAGCGATTTTTCCTCTCAAAAAATTGATTTTTTGACCGTTATTTCACTATTCTAGCTGTCATATTTGACTTTTTCTCTCACAAGTGGACCCTACTTTTCTCTTAATGGTCAAAAAATCAATTCTCAAAATCACTCCCAAACAGGCTCACAGTAGTACTGATCAAATTTGTTTCTTAATACATATGAGTTGGATTATAGAAAATAGTTGCAACTACAAAGAAATTTTAGATCTGGTTATCAACTGTACAAATGGAACATTTTGCTAATTTAATTATCATGACTTTATGATTTTCTTATATGAAGAGAACCTAATTCTGTAATATAAGGAAATGTCTTCATTATAACAACTTATTATTGACGTAAAGTATGTTTATTGTAATAATTCGAAGCATGCATAATCACAAATTTCGGGTTAAGAATCTTTATTTGAAAGAATGAATTCCAAGATCTTGTGTGGTTGAATCACCTTGTATTTTAAAACTCTAAAATCTGTATTTTCTTATTCTCAAATGGTTACAATCTCGATCACAATGGAGGAGAATATTATCCACTAGTGGAAATTACAATTATCCCTAGTTTTTTTTTTAATTCAAAAATCAGATAATAATACATGTTTTAAATATTAAATAATAAAGTTATGTAATTAAAAAAATCCACAACCCACCCCCACATAGCCCTAAAAATCTCTCTCTCTCCCTCTCCATCCATTCTCCAGCATCAAGGATTGCCCTGTGACGACACTAATTCGTCATCACAGGGTGCTTCTATTACTCGGTCTACGCTTCTTGTTCTTGTAGTCATCTTCACAAAGGGCAAAGTTCGTTTCAGGATTTTTTTATTTTATTTTTTGGTTGTTGTTGTTGTTGTTACAGTACCCTTGTGGTTGTGGTGTGGTGGACTTGTGGAGGCGTGGCGGCATGGTGAATTTGTGGTTGTGGTGTGGTGGATTTGTGGTTATGGTGGATTTGAGAAGTTTTGGTGGGTTGTCTGCTATGGATGCAGCATCGCGCCCAGCCTAGTGATTGTGGTGGTGAAGCTCGTGGGGGCGTGGTGAATTTGTGGTTGTGGTGTGGTGGATTTGTGAAGGTTTGCTAGTTATCTGCTGTGGATTTATGGAGGTCGTGTTGGCGGCAACTGGTTTGGTGGTTGATCTGCTGTGATGGTTGATTTGTTTTGGATTTGTGGAGGTCTTGTTGGCGAAGGTTTGGTGGTTGGTCTCTGTGGATTTGTTGTTGTGGTGTGGTGGTGATGTTGGTGATTGTGGTGCTATGTTATGTAGTTGTGGTTGTGGTGGATGGGGTGAAATGTGGCGGTGGTGGTTCTGTAATGCTGTGGATGTGACGGTGGCGGTGGTGCTATTGTGATGTTGTGGGTGTGGTGATGGTGGTTCTCGACAGGCGACGATTTTAGTGGTGTTTCAATTGTTGACAGTGGTGAGATGGTAGTCACAAGTGTCGGCGGTGGTCATAAATGATTTGATTGACTGTGACCATTAAATTGGTTAATTCGTGATCAATAAACAATATGTGACCTATAAAAATGATAAATTGTGACAAAAAATAATGTTTGACCAAAAAAATTGTTAATTTGTGATGATAATTTGATAATTTGTGACTGTATAATAAGTCATAATTTATAATATTAGTGATTTGTGACCAATAAATAAATTATGACTTATAAATTTTCGATTTGTGATCGATAAATAAATTGTGATCTATAAAATTTTTGAACTGTGATAAAAAAATAATAAGTGACTAATTAAATTGTTAATTTGTAACCAAATTTTACATATTTATGACCTAAATATATTAATTAATTAATTAAATCATAAATAAATTTTAATAAAAATCTGAATTTTGAAGTTTGAAACTTGTTTTCTTAATTTTGAAATGTGTGATACTTAAAATCTTACTATATGAAATTTTCCTTGTCCACAATCTAAATGTCTAATTTTGTGAGTTTTCATGACATATATGTGATTCCAGGCACTTTTCTATCTTTGAATGATTTTTCATTCGAATTTCGCTTTATTATTGCCATCTTTTCCCCTTCTCAATTGCAAGACAAAGTTATGTTATGTAAAATCATGGAAGTTGAGACAAGTTATGAATTTGAATGTTATTGAAACGACTCCATTCCAATCCATTTTAATAACTTGTAGGTCGAATCACCCCCACATGGTTGATCCACAACTCATATTTTTCCACATCTCTCACTCGCACATGATGGGCTTAAATCGAACCACAAGTGATAACGAATATCACACGTTAGATCCTTTTCAAAGTTTACCTCACAAAGATTCATATGGCAAAGATAGTGCGATCTGTGAGTACATATTAAAGCTCATTGTAATATAAACCTGTTAGGGATATATAGTAGCTCTATTAGAGGTACACATCTTGCTAAACCCCAAAATCATTTTTCACATTAATTTAAGTATTTCGTCCTTCGAGTATTTATGAAATATACTTGGAGCTTACATCGTATCATTGTATTCATAATTGTGTTCTATACCATACCCTAAATGGTTAAATAAAATTGTTCAGCCAGTGAATACAAATATAAATATTGATCAAAATTGTTTTCCTTTCCCACTTGAATCCTTCAACTTCAAATTAGCTACTTTCCTAAACACGTCCCATTAAACCAAATCAATTATAGTCATTGGTAACATGTTAAAATAGCAACACTGAAATAAAATCTCAATAAACCATTAAAAGTCATAAGAGGTTATATAAACCTCAAAGCCTTACATAATGAGAAAGCATGGATCAATTTCAGTCATTTACCCAATATTGTTCGTAAAAACACACGTGGTATAAAACACATGCTACAATATTTTCTCCCTTTTTTAGGTCATATGTTATATTCTTTATAAATATATAGCATTGTACAAACCCTAGTTCAGGTATTTCTCAATACTTAACTTGAGTACTCCTTATATTAATTACTCTACGCAATCTTTAATAGAGAACTCGGTCTAAGTATAAAAAAGGTCTAAAAGATAGCGAAATTCATATCGATTACTTGTTGTAATTTATCTTGATATCTCATCAAGGCGACTGGATCATGTACAATGCATAATCACTGTATCTCATCTCGGCACGCTTCAAAATGTCTGAGGTGATTGCTCATACGAGTGAACCAATCTTAATCTGTTCGGCATACTTTATATGTATATGCAAATCATTATCTTGTAATCCCAACAATAGATTATACATGAATTCAAAATTGTTCATCTATGGGCATGCAAAAAATTCAATCAAGAGTTTTCTCATATACTAAGTATTATATTCTATGTAATTCTAGAGATTCAATATTACCAACAAGTATATCTCTAGATATCTTCAGAGTATGATGATTACATATCATTATTTACATAAATATTGAAAGAACGCAGTTTGACCCAAATAACACCTAGATGGGGTTGAATAGGTGTTTATGCAAAATTTAGACCAGTTGATCAATAATTGCAACGAGTCACAGTTATTAATATTATCCAGATCAATTCATTTGTATACTACCCTATGTTTAATTGACGCAATGTAGTAAATTGGAGAAAAATAAAGAACACAAGCAATTTGATGACGGATAAAACCTCTTGCGGGATTACAAACTTCGAACCCAAGCCAATATAAATCCACTATAAATGAAAACCAACTTACAATACTGCTAGACTCAACCAACACAAGTTTTTCTGACTTCCTAACTGTAATTTCCCAATGCCCTCCTAGAATGCGTGCTCCTGTACCAGCTCCCGGCTCTTGATTATATCTATCTCCTGTGGATTCTCTAGAACTCCCGTTCTTCAACGATTGAAACTCCTATCTCATTCCTTGATCCTCAAACTTTAATAGATGATCTGGAGAGACAGGTTTTGGTGTTTGATGGGTATGGATTTTGATGTTTTTGTGAGTGCACTGACCAGAAAGTAGGACTGATTCAAGATGACAAAAGTGTAGGATGTGTTCTCAAAGTTCAATCCTCTTAACCACCAACTTTCCTTGTTAATTCGCTAAAACTATCACTTGTATTGTTTATTCCAAAATTCAATTTCAACAAAAAATGCAGCTGAAATGGTGGTGGAATAATACCTCCTGATCTACCTGGTGGTCTTTAGCGTTCCTGCTACTCCGACGGGCGTGTATAACCTGAAAAGTGAGGGCAGGGCTTTCTTCCCCGTTTTACCTCCGGCGTGAGAATCCGTATGCATGTTAGGAGAAATAAGGACGGAATTTAGATGGGTGAAAAAAATGCAGTCATCCATACATGTGTCGCCCTCAGTGGTATTTATAGATGTTGGAAGTCGAGTGAGAAC